TTATTTAAGGGTATTTCAACACGTACGTAAATCACTGGATAAGAATTTTAGCTACAGAATCGACGGTAAGTAAATATTAAGTACAAATTAATAGAAATAAAATATTCTTTGTTTTTCGTTATTTAAAACATTTTTTACTCCACCCTAAGTCCTCTTAACAGTAGTAACCTTCCGAAAAGGAAAAGATGCAGACGTCATAGAATGGTAAAATAGATACTTTCTTCTAGTAGTGTTTTTAACTTTGTAAGTATGTATATATATATATATGAAGGATTCACTGCTAAGCTTTCATGGTGGTTACCGTACCGTAACCTACAAACTGGTTGTATAAAAACTAATAATTAGAGTTAGAATATTCTGTTTTTTTTGCTGTTGTTTTTCACTTTTTATAGTCATTATTTAATTAGTAGTTTTACCTCTCGTGGCCAACAGACAAGTCTTACAAGAACCTATGACGTCACGAGCGAAACTTTTACGTGTATATAAGAATATACAAGTAAGGATTTCAGTATTTTATGCGTTTACATGACTTCGATCATCATAATATTTGAATCTCACAAATAACCTCTTAGAAAAAAACTGTCACGCTTCTATTCTTTATTGAAGTAATTTTGACAGGAAATGACTACGTAATTTGCATAATTTGTAATTGTTCACTTCTTTGACGGATTGTTGACCGTTTTTCATTCCCATTCATTTACAGCATGAAAGTAGTAAGTTTTAGACATTGTGGCCGAATATTTCATTTTTTTTCTTCGTCGTTAAGCGCAAAACTGCACAATGAGCTATGTGTGCTGTACCCGCCGCAAGAATCCAATCCTGAATTTAGTGTTACAAAGCGTACAGACTTTCCGTGGTACCACCGAAAGCTAGTTGCACTAGCCGTCCCTAATTTAGCAGTGAAAAACTAGAAGGAAGGCGGCTAGTCATCATCACCTACCGCCAACTGTTGGGCTACTCTTCTACCAACGAATAGTGGGATTGACCGTAACTTTATAACGCCCCAACGGCTGAAAGGGTGAGCATGTTTGGTGGGACCAGGATTCAAACCTGCGACACTCAGATTGTGAGTCAAGCGCCCTAACCACTTGGCCAAGCTGGGCCAGGTAAGTCAGTATCAAGAAAATGTGTTGTCCACTTACTCGATAATAAAACAGTCCGTTATAAAGCCAAAAACAAATTATCTGCGTAAATATAATATGTATATATATATATGCATAGAACAATAAGGAAAAAAATGCTGTGTTTGAGCGACAGGTTCTTTCCCCACCTTAATAAAAGAAAGTACAAACTAAACCAGACTGTATACTGTTAGATACTTATATGTTACTACCGTATTTGATTTACATGGGCGAAATTGAGGGGGATATTGTAGAAACTTTCTTCTTCCAATTCCTGATGTTGGTTAAGAAAGCTTCTGTTTTGGAGCAGCAAACAAATATAAAACTGAAGAATGAAACAAAGTATCTTAAGTATTACGTCACATTTAATGTTCCCACATTACACAGTGTTTTCTTCGTTTGATGATCAACGTGTACATTTATACAGCCAAATGGACTATTGTTGTTATATGTACATCTGGATACCAGTTTTTGTCCTTTATTTTCCAAGTGGCTATTAATGAAAGTTTGCTGCAACGTTAATACAACGGCAACAACAACAACAACAAAGTATTAGGGCTTGGCGCTCTAAACTTTTTATGTTGCTGACTAGTATTAATCAAACAAAGAAACAGATATACCCTCTTCTAACACACATAATGAATCACTTTGAAATCCGAGTAGTTTGAAACAAAGAAAAAGAATTTCACTTGTATTTCCTGTCTAAACTCTCAGCTAGAGATTACTTGTGAAACCTTAAACAACACGACTCCCTGTGTACACCCCACTTACACGTCACGCCCCCTGGTGAGATTCTTCACGACTGCAGCTGATAAGAAATTCAGGCATGTCCTTGGACGGGCTTCTGTACGAACCATGGTTAACTGTTATTATTTGTTCTGTCTCTCACCACGTTCTTTGTATGACGCTGTGTATCGTCTTGACTTTAACACTTTTGCGTCGTTTTGATTTAGAATGTTTCGATTAATATAAAGGTTTTTTCCGTAGATATTTGAAGCACTTTGACTACTTCCAGGAGTCTCTGTTTTCGCTTAGTTGCGTCATCAATTGTTAATGCTACAAATATACGATTATCATCAGGTCGTATATTAATTAAACATTTACGTTGTAGAGTATCTGAAGTCGACAGCGGAGATATATAGTTTAAATAAATACATATGTATAGAGTATCGATAAATCTTAGTTTGAACAGGTACTCATTGACACGTAATATGGACAGAAACAGTATAGACCTTATAGTTAGCATTTACTTAGCTCAAACATTGAACTGTCGGTAAACCAACGTAGAAAATTCTCATTGTGAGCGTATCATTATTAACCTGAATGATTTCAGACTTAATTTTCACTACTGCCCATACTTTTTTGAAACCAAGAAAACGTGGCTAATTCATGGCTGCGATGCACTGTTCATCAACACTAGATTAAATGTAAAAAGACGCATTAAAAAATTGTCATCTGATACTGGACAGTCAGTCGGATCTTGTTGAAATACTAATTTCAAGTTCTATGTATATAGGTATGTATGTGTACGCACACACATAAACATATATGTATATATTCATATTAATTTCAATATATATATATATATAGCATTGAATTTCGAGTTCTCAATAACAAAGGTGCTTTATCTGACGTAAGAAAAACACTTCGAAATGCCAACACTTAATGTCAAATACTCTTTTGTGTTTTGATTGGCTAGATAAATGTGTATGAATTCGCGCTATTGTGAACCATCCATGAAATAAACAAACTGCAATTCAAACACATGTCTGAATTCAAAGTTCATTAACACCAATATTTAAAGAAAAAAAATATTGCCGTGATTTGTGGACGATAAGACCAATTGCCTTATGGATGATAAGACCTAAGATTTTTTTTCGAAATATTTATAAAATTTGAAAAATAAATCAAAATAGTTTTCAACAAAAATAAACAAAATGGCAATCATTCATTTTCCGGGGCAGTGTCTTCCACAAGTGTACTAACACAATTTGTCGTGTATATTTTAATTTCCTTCCTTGGCCTGGTGATTAGGTCACTCTACTCTCAATCTGGTTGGCAGTTCAAAATTAGGGCAACGACAGACAGCCTTAGTAGCTTTGGCCTAATCAAAACCAACAAACATTTAATGTAAAATGTAAAATATGTAGTATAATTGTAAACAAAATCATTGTTTAATTTTGTTTGTTTGTAGTTAAGCACAAATGGCTATCTGTGCTCTGCCCACCACGGGTATCGAAACCCGGTTTCTAGCGTCTTCAGTCTGCAGACATACCGCTGTGCCACTGGGGGGCTATTATTTAATGTTTAAATAATTATACATATACATATATATGTTCCTATTGTTTTTTTATTTCTTCAGGGCTATTCATGGCCTAGTTAAGTTTATCTCCAACTTAACACTGAAATCCAAAATGACCAAATCAGTAGAAAAATTTATACTACGTAAAGGTGAGGCTTAATTTTCAGAGTTTTAGCTGCAGTTAAAACCATAACAGTTAAAAGTCACATGAATGAAGTATAAATTCAGTACCATGCTTTAACTAAGTTGTAGAAGTTTTGAAAGTTGCACGCATTCCTATCCAGGAGTTAGAACTGATAAAAAATTTGCAATTGTAAAGAATGCAAAAACTCTCTCATCAATTATTGTTGAATCAAGTAAACTAACTTAATGTCAAATACTCTTTTGTGTTTTGATTGGCTAGATAAATGTGTATGAATTCGCGCTATTGTGAACCATCCATGAAATAAACCTTACGATTAAGAATATAACTACTGAATATATTGCAAGCATGTAGTAATTGATTCAACATATAGTTTGATTAGACTTGTAGCAGTAAAACGTAATAAAACTGTATTTGTTCTTTCAGTTGTATTTGACATAAGACAATAGTATTAGGCTTATTGTATTTTTGAACACTGCATTCCTTATTTGGCCCCTTAGGGTTTTCCTGAGAATAAGCGTATATAACAGTGTTTCAAACACACTATGTCCGCCATATCCATTTCTGACGTCGCGTTTCGCTCAGTACCAGAGCTCATTAGAACAACTGGGATACAGCAAAATAGTAGTAGCCGGAATGCTATTTATATAAGCCGTTTGTTTAAATAACAATTATTATGGTGTGAACGCCTTCAACATAAGACAATACTATTAGGCTTATTGTATTTGTAAATACGACATTCTTTATTCGGTCCCTTAGAGTTTTTTTTTCTAGAAGCAGGGTGTATAATAGTATTTGAACCACACTAGGTATGTTGTATCCATTGCCGACGACGCGACAAATATGGTTGATTATAATCACGCATCACCAGCAAAAAATTTCACACCATAGTCTTTGTTTTTATTTCTATTCGCTGTAAGAGACAATATGTTTGGTAATTATACATAAGTAGCTTGTAGTATTTTACTTTTAGTAAAGTTTAGGCCGCTATGAAGCACATAAATACGATCCGAAACTTCTACTAATTTAAACATTTTTCTTTACGACACCCATACAATTTCTCTGTAGAACGATCACTTGATACGACTTTCAATATATTGTAAACAACATTTTCTAGTTTCGATATTTTAAAAACAGCTACAAGGTACTCTTTGAGGGTATTTCGACACGTTTGTGCACCAGTGTTAGCTACAAACCTTCACAAACATTGCTTTATAATACACCCTAGCTATCTAAGTCGTAAGTGGTCACGTTGTTTCGGTAGACAAACATGACGCTATAGTTACGTCACAGACATGCGTATTAGCATCCCTTGTGAACTGACAGGAATTGAATGAGCCTGCGACCACATCTTCATTCACTCAATAGCGAGTGTGGGAGCAAGTGTTGTGCATACATTGATTAAAATGGAATGAGTTTAACTCTATTTATGATACGGGATTTCGCTCGGAAAGGATTAATCATAAAATAAAGGTAAGAACGTTATACATGGATAATGATTTTCAGTTTGCTTTTGGTTGAAATCTTCAATAACTTTTTTCCATTCTGTCATCTTAGACAGCGTTTGTAGTCAAGAAAGAAGACGATAGCGTGATCACTTTAAAAACACATTTCCGTGCTCTTTTAAGTGTGTATATATTTCTCAATATAAATTGTTATTGGATTTTTTGTTGTTGTTGTGTTACTCTACAGATATGCCAGGAAATCTTACAGACAAACATAACATGTATTTCTTTCTGGTTTACGTATTATATAGTTCTATTATCTCAACATAACTTGAGTGTAAGAAATATAGTTTCAAAAACTGTAGACCAACATAACTCAGATTTTCAAAGTTGGTATATGTACAAATACTTTATGGGTAGACGAAATTTACTATATGACTTCCTAAAAAAAAACTTTTCCGTATATTTCGTATCCTTTCGAATCAGGTTTTTTTTTTTAACCCTTCCAACCTGGGATAGAATTGGAAGTGACGAACAAAATTAATGTCAGTGAAGAGTAACAGCGATATTGCCACAGACTATTTCCTAGAAAGCACTATTTTTTCACTTTGTAATTCTTGTATATTCCCGGATGTGATATCGCGTGGTAGAATTATTTTTCGATCGTGGTGGTTACTGACCATTCTCTATGTGCAGGGTGGTAAACGCATTCCTTGTCCATTGCCGCGTCTTTCTGTGTAACAATGGAGGACAGCGATGATTCGTTTGTATTGAGGTCAACGTTCATCAGTAAATGGGAAATAGTCGTGGCTTTCCTGATCTGTCTCGAGCAACTGATCACGCCTGTATAATGTCGTGTCGAACAAAACTTATCCATCTCCGAACTTCTGAAAGGAAAATTACGTTTACGGCGTTTCTCGGTAAACTGGTTACTTTTTTTGTTTTTAAATACAAAATCCAGAATTTATAAAGGTGTTTCATGTAACAGTACAACTACAGTATAGTATATACTATGAAACCATTGCTCAAAGTGATAATCTTAAAACATGTGAAACATTAAGGAGTTTTTTTTTTTGTTTCGTCAAAACTAAGTTTGTGACATCGTTTGTAGGAGTTTTTGTTTTGATGTAATACTTAGGAGCATTAACGCTTTCAAAAACTACAAATTTTGGCTACCAAATAGACATATAAAAATAAAGAAGCTCGGTAGATCTGACAAATAAAAATAATTGGTTGTTCTATAACTGAGCTAATATAATACTATCTTAACAGTAGGAATTAGCTTAAACAACTCTAACGTACTGAGAACATTTGATACAATATACGTTTATTAGTTCACAGATTTCATCTGTTACTAACTGCACGTATGAACTGACCGAAAATGATTTATCCAGTGACGTAAGGTTACCTATTAGAAGAATTTAACCAATCAAAACATTCCCAACAAATTATGGTAAGGTGTTGCTGTACTAACCAATCTATACAGAAAGTAGATGACTATTTGGGAAATAAGCAAACTTTACACTTTGTATTTAGCGAATTATGCAGCGATTATTTCCATACAGTTGTAAATTGTTTGTTTGTTTTGAATTTCGCGCAAAGCTACATGAGGGCTATCTACGCTAGCCGTCCCTAATTTAGAGGGAAAGCAGCTGGTCATCACCACCCACCTCCAACTCTTGAGCTACTCTTTTACCAACGAATAGTGGAATTGATCGTAACGTTATAACGCTCCCACGGCTGAAAGGGCGTCCATGTTTGGTGGGACGAGGATACAGTTGTAAAGCTGTATTAAATAAAGTCAGTAATTGAAATGAATTTGAAACTTTGGTTCTGAAGAAAAAAGTTTCATAGTATTGCGAAGTGCTGTTAATACATACATGTATTTATATATATTTGTGTGTATTTGGATTTGAAAAATATACTTTTGTCATACTTAATGAGCGGTATAAACAAAACTACAACGTCGAGCAACGTCAACCGTTGACCTGTTTAATTCAGAGAAGTTGTGATTAAACATCCTCAAGCATATTGAATAAGAAATCGATTTTAAACGTAAATAGCCTAACCTGTTTCTTACGCTGTCACTAATTGAAATCAGACCAGAGTTGGAACGGTTGGTGGTCCCTTTCTTATTCACTCAGAATTGCCGCTAGGTGTAGCTTAGAAACACGTATTTCTCGCTTCCCAGTGCGTCCAATTTCAATGTTTTTGTGCTTTTACTATCGTGGTTAGCTGCCAAGAAACAGCCTTGTTCTAACAACCCTCTTACCTTATCCTAGAAACAGGACGTTTTCTCTCGGTCTGAGAAGAACAGCAGAATTTGATATAGCTGGTCGAAAACATGCAACTCCGAATGAACCTCCAAACCAATTTTGGTGAAGATCCATCCACACCCTGCGAAGTAGTTACATGGACATACAACAGACAGTACTATTATATTTATATAGATGCACACACAAGTCACGTAATTCTTATTTTTTTAATTTCAGCCCCAAAACACATAGAGATTTAGCATCGAATGACACGTAAATGTAAAAATATCAAACAGCTCAAGTTTGGACTAATTGCCGCCGCGTTAGTACACATTACCTATTGTGCGTTATTAGATAAGTGATATTACATTTGTAAAAATTGAATTTAGCTTTGGTAAGTACAAAAATAGTCCCCATTGAAATTTAAAATGTTATCAAATCATTTAACAAATGCGACTAGAAATTTTTAAACGTTTAATAAAGTTGAGTAAAGTAATAAAAATTAAGATTTTTTTATCATTAATCGCAACAAGTACTTTTATATGACCCGAAAGATTTATTGAAATGCACCTGTTGAATGGTAATTATCAGGCTTAACTAGGATCGACATCAAGCAACGACTTTCCTTACGTTGTTCACCTTAAGAGCTTATCTGGTAAGCTGGATTTCGCTTAAAAGAGGATGATTGCATGACATTAGGGAATATATTACCAAACGTAATATGAACAATCGTTTGAGAACACGTACTTACATACAAATACGGTAAGTCGTGCACAAAATATTCAAAATAAGATTTTCACTGGTGAAGTTCAATCTAATCAACAAACGTTCTTATTTTACCTTTTCAATTGCTAAAAGATTCGTATCGCACAATAAGGCATATGAGCACTTGTCTGTAAATGTGGCTAACATAAGCAAGTATACGTATTTGAAGCTGGAACGGAAAAAATAAAACTACAGATGCCGCTTTTAATCAAAGTCACCGTATAGTTTTTGTATTTTGAATAATGATGAAAACTAAAAATTATAATTTGAGAAACCTTCAACTGTTGCGCATTATGTGATAATAATGATACCTAAGCCGCCAACAACAGCAACAAAAAAAAAAAAATCAGCTAACAACTTAGAAATGAGATTTCTGGATAAAGCCAAAGTAATAAAGTAAATAAGTAATGTATAAAACGACTTGCTCGTTTAAAGTTTTGCTTAGTTTACAGGATAGTAACTAAGTTTCAGCTGTTACCCGGATATTTACTACTAATATAAGTCGTATATAGGTAATTAAATCAATATTACGGAATTTGAGTCTTTAATTATGATATGTACTAGTATACTTTAATTTTATCTTTGGGCATTCATCGGAGTTGACATGTCATTAGATTGTTTGATTAGCAGTCGACCGTGACATATAAAACTCATGTAGAGTTTTATATGTGTCACTTTGAAAAAAAAATAATTGAAAGCATACTTATCTATATATGATAATTACTTGTATTTTTCTAATCGTAATATCAAGAATCAGTGAGCCAAACTTTTATAGTTTTCTTTAATTCCACAACGTCCTTCTTGGGAAACCAATGTCGAGGACACTTATGGTCTACCTGCGTTTTCTACATGCGTAGGTAGCTGGAAAAGTTACAAGGCCTGTTTACCTTAGGGAAGAAGGGGGGGGGGGGTATGAAAGAGCACGTAGGCATTTTCTGACAGGTTTGACACTGAAACCGAAGCTCTGGGCTCGGAAATCAACGTTTTACTAATTCACTGTTAATCTTACTTAAACTAATAAGCGGATTTTAGGCTTAGCAAAACTTATGACTGATTGTTTTATGTTTACCTTCTACAGAACGTTCACATTTTACAAGTAAAAAAGCATCTTTACGGTAATTTTATATTAATACAGATAGGCTTTTTTAACCGTTTTCATATGTAATAATTTTTACTCAAATTTTTCCAACTTCAATCACAACTTAGTAAGAGAACAGTCTTTAAAGCGAAGTCGATTATATGATAGATATTGTACACTTTATGAACAACAGATGTATATTTTGAAAATTACTATAAACCAATAAAATGAAAGTTGTTATTCGTGGCGTCCATAATTCATAATGCTCAGTTTTTGGGCATCCTGAGAACGCGCACACACCTTAGTTTTTATAAGTACGGTAAAGTTTAGCCCCGATTAAACGAAAGCAAACATAAAACGTACACAAGTTACAGTGTTAACTTATCTCTTTATCGAATATAGGCTGCACTTAATTAAGACTTAACTAATGTTAGGCCTAAGACAAGTGAACTTAAAGATTTCGATGTTTGCGATTAGAGTTCTTTTGTATTACTCTAGAAATCCTGTATTTAAAGAAGTACTGTTGCAATAAAGATACTAATTTGACCGTTGCGGGTCTCTGCTAGTGTATATATAACTTATACATATTTGAGCCAGAGCAGCATGAGTGTGTTTTAGGCCTAGTGATAATAAAATGGTTGCCAAATATTGTAATGTGTGAGCACATTACTTTACTGTCTCTATTTTATTTCATAAGAAACAGGAAGAATTTCTATGTCACAATTTACCATCTGTTGTTACATTTTGATGCCTGTGAAAAGGTATTTTTTGTCAATTTTGCTTTAATTTTGTAGTAATAGTAATTATTTTGCAAAGTACATATGGAAAGTTCAGTGAAATGATACGATTGTATGGCGTTAATGGAATGAAATGTAATCTATGAAACATGCAGTTCTCTAAAGATGATCAATAGAAATCATTAATTGCGTT